AAAATGTTTTATCCCTGAGCAGTATCTAATTTTTTGAATAATGTTTTTGTTAAACACACACAAGTCCTGCAAGCTCTATATGCTTTAGCTGATTCAGTGAAACCAAACATTAAATAATATGAGTAACTCAACATCTGTTTATAATATACTGCTTCACCTAACGGCTCTCTGCTCACATAATGGGCACAAGTGAATGTGTGTTGTTATTGATGTATTTTTTTTTTTTTAATATTTTCATTTCAAAGCAGCACCTGACAGTTAATTTGGTAGTAAAGCATTACTTTGAAATTGTAAATGTAATAAATATACAATTAAAGTATTTCTATAAACGTGGCCCACAAAAACTTAATTTTGACTACCAGATACATTGAGGGCCCGAGTGCCCAATGTGAATTTCTTATTACCTGTCTGCCCCTGCAGGAAAGTACTGTGTGTTTACAATAGTTACTGTGGTTTTAATGCTGTAGAAATATAGTAAGATAACAGTAAAATGTCTTACAGTCCATTGCTGTATATTTACAGTTCTTTGCTCGCAACTAAGATACTATTAATTTACTGTAAATGTTACAGGATTTTTTTTACAGTGCACTACCTCTAAATAGATTTTTTCCTCCTTTAGTACAATCGAGGACAATTTGGCAACAACTGGCGTCGCAAACGGCAGTGGGTCTTCGGTATGCTGGAGGTCGGGACAACTACTAGAAGACCAGTCCTCAAACTCGTGGAGACACGCTCACTCCGTGTTCTTCATCGTGTGATCAGACGCCATGTCAAACAAGGAAGGTACATAATGAGTGGCGAATGGCGTCTGTATAGGGGTCAGCTCAGTCAGTATGGATATCAGCATTTCTCTGTATGCCACAAAGACAATTTTGTTGATGCCAGGACAAGCAGCCACACTCAGCATATTGAACGCGCTTGGCAGACATACAAGGTGGACATATGGTGTCATAGGGGTCATCGCACATCCAGACTGCTTAAGTACCACCTTAGATTGATTGAATGGCGGTACTGGCTTGGAAATAAACACGCTGAAGGTCTGTTGGGTAGACTGATCCATGATTTGAAAAAATTCCAATGATAGATGAAGGTTAGGATGATTTGTTCATTGGTGTCACTATTTGGATACTAACACTCCTGTCTGGTTTCTCATTAAAGTTAGTTTTGCAACAGGTAACAATTGTAGAATGGACTCCGGCCTCACTTGAAGTGGTTTTATTGCAGATTTAAAGATGGAATGGTGTTAATCAGCATGAAATGAGTACGTAGCGAATTACTAATAAATTTAATATTATTGAAATGTAATTTCAGTCATGTTACAACTGCAAGTGTCTGATGTATCTGGGGAAAGAAATCTGTAAATCTATACTAGTTTGGAAAAAAATAAACAGATCTCAGAGCTGTGGTCATCAAAACTGTCCTGCTTGTAGAAACATTTTAATATTTTCTATACCAGACATTATAATTCTTACAATGAATACATCTTGTAATTAAAAATATTGAAATTAACGTTAATGTTGTCTCTGTAAAGTAATAACAGAAAATATCATTCAAAATAGAAATAAAAATTATCTTAAAAATTAAAAGACATCTTGTTCTTAAAATATTTGTAAGTATTTATTATAATCAGCACTGTGATAGTTCAGTATGAGAATAAGAATTACAGTGAAAGAGCTGCACTGAGAGTCTACTGTAAATAACAGATCTTTATACTGTTAAAATAAACTCAGTAATTAAAGGCAAGTTGAGAGAAATTCACTGAAACATTTATACTTTTATTAGTGACACTTCAGAAACAGACGGTCGATTAAACTCTCCAAACACAGTAAACACTGATACTGTTAAATAAATAAAAACTAATAAATACTGAACATGATGTACAAAAGCATCAAATACATTGATTTTGCAGCATTTATTAACTGATTAATTATGAATAAGAAATAAAAAGCTACTTACGGCCAACTGACAGTTTGGTTCCTCCACCAAAAGTGCACCACAGTGATACAAACTCATTTAGTGTCTGTACAAAAACCTCCTGCTCTAAAGACTCTGCTCTCTCTGTGCTTTACTAACAGCTTTTTCATATCATTCATTAAATACTGATGTGTTTTATAATCAGCAGATAAATTAAATAAATAAATTCTGAAAACCTGAACTTTTGTTTCTTTACTTTTTTAAACTTTTTTGTTTGAACTGAGGTCACACATTATTAGATGTGTTCTCAAATTGCTAATTTATTTATTAAACTGTGATATCGTTGTAAAATATTTACATTTTTTGATTATTTAACTTGATTTTACTTTGACCTTTGGATTAAAATAACAAATTATTTCAAGAACAGAAAACAGTTGAAGAGCTGCTATGTAAAAAATCTTTTTGGTTCTGTTGAGCAACAAAAATTAACATGGATAAATGAACATATTGATTTCCTGCTAAAAGTGAGAAAAGTATTGTAATAAAATGTGTATTTTCTTACTCCCTGCATGCAGTTTAGTTCCTCCACCAAAGACTCCTGCACTGAGAGACAGACTGACAGCAGTAGCTGCAAAATCCCTCAAGAGAAAGACTGATACACTTTAAACTGAACACTATGAGATCGCCCCCCACTGGACATTAAGAGAATATTACACTGATCTGGAAAGGCAGATTGCTGAGCTGTGAGAAGATCAACTGTGTCTTAAACAGTTTACAGTGTGTTCAGTTCAACACATTTCAGCAACAACAGAAGCTGATAAACAACACATATAAACATTTTCATGCTTCTGTCTGATATTCAGCAGCTCTAAACTGAACCATGAAGAACTCCTTCTGTTTCCATGCTGTTATACTCAATGTCACATGATCACTGCAGCCAATAGAGTCATTTCCATAGAGAGAGCTGACTTTGCATTATCAGCACATGCTTCAGTGCTCTGGGAGAGTTTATAGTCCTGTGAGTTTAACACTTCATGACTGAGAGCTGCTGCCCCACAAACTTCACCCACAGCAGACATGACTTTGACCACCATCTTCATCTGGACTCTGATCTTCTGGACTCAAGGTAGAACACTGTTATACATTTACCTTTACGAAGATGATTTATGAAAACACACTAAAGCACATGCATTTGAGGGGCTTATTTTAAAAATAATATCTTGTGTATTTAATTATATTTATAATTATTTGTAATTTATGAGTCACCTTGAATTCTTATTATTTTATTTCAGAATCCAGAGGTCAGACGACTGTGACTCAGACTCCTGCAGTGAAATCTGCTCTTCCAGGAGAAACAGTCACCATCAGCTGTAGAACCAGCCTTGCAGTGCATGGTAGCTATCTAGCCTGGTATCTGCAGAAACCTGGAGAAGCTCCTAAACTCCTGATCTACACCACTAGCAGCAGAACATCAGATTGTCCAGCTCGTTTCAGTGGCAGTGGATCTGGGTCCAGACTGAAGATGATGGAGATTATTACTGTCTGAGTGAATTTTACATCAGTAGTATCTGGTCGTTCACACAGTGATACAGAGCTGTACAAAAAGCTGTGAGAGTCAGAGACACAGAGGCTGCACTGCTGCAGCTGAGACCTACTGCAGGTGCTGAGGGGGAGGATGTGATACAGCACAATCACACACTCTGTGGAGGAGAGGAAACACACCACACTAACACACAACTCAACACACACATCTATAAATAAGCACAAAGCAATAATGCACACAGCATTTCAGCCCCACTTCTATGAGAGGAGTAGTTTAGTGGAGCTGGAGCTCATTTTACTACTACTGTTCGTGTGTCAGTGGCGGAGGTTTCATCCTGCAAATGATCTGCAGCACAAAAGCTGCTACATGTTTCACATGTTTCCTGGTTACTGTCCACTGATGGAACAGATACAGTGGTGTAAGAGTGTCTGAGACAGTTTACCTGGTTTAACTCATTTGGTAATGTAGCTACCTGAGCTTTATCTCTGTAGTGATCAATAAACTAAGGTCGCCTAATTTGACAGCCTTTATATTGACAATTATAACATAATTTGTTATTCAAAAAATGATGTTAATCCCTGTAAACATTTTATTGATTTTGTCTTTATCTGTTTGACCTCAGCTGGGAGGAATGGTTGGCTTATACCTCCTTACAGAACTTTCCCAGCTCAGTGTGAACTTTATTACTGATCAGCTCCTGATTCTTTAACAGCTGAGACTTTCTCTCTAGGACAGTGGTGTCCAATCCCAGTCCTGGTGACCCTTTACTCTGCACATAGTTGTGTTTTACTGACTCCTCACACCTGATTCAGACATTGAAGAGCTTCATAATTAGTTAATGAGTTGAATCAGGAGGGCCAGATGAGACAAAGCACAAAACTGTTCATAGTGTGGGGTGATCAGTGCTGAGGTTGGGAACAGCTGCTCTAGAACATGGTGCAGTTATTGGCTGATAAGAAGCAGATCAGACCTGAGGAAATAAAGCAATCTCAGACAGTATTAGACTCACCACTGTGAACCATCTCGTTTGAGTCTGTGTCAGTTTTTGTCCCTACTATGTGTAGAGATACCAACAATGTGTTCTTCAGCAATTTTGAACTATTTACTACCATTTATGTTTATTATTATTATTATTATTATTAATAATATTATTATTGTTCACTGCACTAAAACAGGGGATTCAAACACTACAGCTTAGTCTATTAAACTCACAGCACTGTGACTCTGACACACTGACAGTCAGCTCAGGGTATTAAACTCACATCCTGGAGGGCAGCAGCACTAAAGGAAGAAGTGAAACCAGCCCCCCCACCACCACCCCCCACCCAGCTGAACACAAACAAACAGTTTAACCAATAAAATAGTGAAATAGAGACAGAGAGAGAGCGAGAGAGAGAGAGAGAGAGAGAGAGAGAGAGCGGAGTGGGGTGAAACTCAGATTTGCATTAACAGGCCTGAGTCGTCCACTTTCTCCCAGAATAGAGCAGCACTTTCAGCAGATGTTCAGCTTCGTTCAGCTAAACTCACTCAAGCACAACACACAGCTCTGCACTGAATCTACAGCTACAGATACTCTCTCACAACACTGACCATTAAACAGAGTAAAAGAACAGACGATGTTCTAGATTCAGCTTTATTTCAGCTCAGCAGAACCACAGGAACAGCAACAGGACAGAGAACAGAGTAAAGACAGGAACATCAGCACTGTGTAGAGTTTAAACTTTACTGTAGATGATGTGGAAGCAGCTCTATGTTCAGCTCTATCTTGGAGCTGCTAATTTTCACAGTGGCTCTTTGTGAACGTGATTGGCTGATTGACGTTGTCATGGGAGACCATACAGCCAAACTCCTCCCCCTTTTCCCAAAGTGCTTTGCTGAGGGTCAGGGTGCTGCTGCGGCTATAGCGGCCATTCTTCTCTTCTTCTACACTGGTCAGAACCCCCTCCTTCACCTCTGAGCCGTCCACTGTCCAGCTGACCAGCGCCCCCTGTGGAGAGTATCCAGACAGCAGGCAGAGCAGTGAGGCTGAACCCTCAGACAGCTGCAGAGAGGAGGGAGGGAGCAGAGACACAGAGGGCTTCACTGTGGAACCAGCTGGAGACGAGAAACAACAGCACACATGATTAAACACAAACAATTAAACATATTTACTAGTTATTCTTTATTAAACGTCCCAGCTGGAGCTCTAAAACCTAACCAGAGTGTGAATATCACTGCAGCGCTCTGTACTGTTCTCACTTTGCTGAAATTAAATTGAAATATCTTTAAAATATCTATCATCTTCAATAAAACTGATAAACTCTAACAATAGTCATAAAACATTCCTCACTTTAACAGAGCTTATTAATAAAAGTTACAGCTTTTGTTGAGTTCATACAGGATCATTAACCCAAAGTCTGACTTCAAATTTTACTCTTTAACACAGTCAGTTTCAGTCAAAAGCAGCTGATTACAGAATGAAGACACAGATTAACAGACATTAAATGGAATTTGAATAGCCTTTCTTTTCCTATTCGCAAAAATAAAATAATTTAAGACCGTAATCTAAATGTGTAACTAGTTTTAATGATATGTTAAAGCCATTTTCATGAATTATGAGTTATGTCCTGAAATAGTAAAATTATTTGGATGTGATAGCTAATTGTATATTACTGCATTTTAAAAGTCTAATATAATAATATGATTCTTTAAGTTCAGTAAACAATTTGATTGTATTACTTAGTTTTTAATAATTTATTTAATTAACGCTACAATAAAAGAAGTAAAAACTCTTACTTTTCACAATGAGTTTAGTTCCTCCACCAAAAGTCCACCACAGTGATACATTCTAATGAAGCCATTGTACAAAAACCTCTGATACACTACAGTAACCACACACACACACACACACACACACACAGACATACACACATACTCGGGATCAGCTTTATAAAAGTGTATAATCTAAAATTATTTCTCTCATTCCACTGACCTTATCTGAGTCTGATTCCTCATTTAAAAAAGAACAGTTTACAGTGTTTACATCTCTGTCGTTTTATTAAACTCTGAATATGTTCCTCTGTGGTTCCTTCTAAACTTGTTCATCACTCATTCATAAATTATTTATCACTTTGGATCCATTTGCATGTGCTGTTTTATCTCCTGCTAAGATGGAAAACTTCACCTGGATGTCCCAATAAGCCCACCTGGAAGAGATTATCATGAATAATCTACCATCAGATGCCTCATCAACTCCTAACATGATCTCTAATCAGCCTTATGAACTGCCCAATCTGGAAACTGCATTTCTTTAAACACTGAACGTTAAGACAACTTAAATAATTAGAATCAGTTTCTTTAAAATATCTAACAATTAAAAATCTCACAAAACACAAATCATATTAAATAGTTTATTATCATCTGTAATCTGGTGTAAAGACAGTTCAGGTGGAGTCATTTCCATAGAGAGAGCTGACTTTGCATTATCAGCACATGCTTCAGTGCTCTGGGAGAGTTTATAGTCCTGTGAGTTTAACACTTCATGACTGAGAGCTGCTGCCCCACAAACTTCACCCACAGCAGACATGACTTTGATCACCATCTTCATCTGGACTCTGATCTTCTGGACTCAAGGTAACTCACTGCTATACATTAATACTGTTATACAGTGTATGAGGGGCTTATACTAAAAATATCATATGTATTTGAGTCACTTTGAATTGTTACCATTTATTTCAGAATCCAGAGGTCAGGCGACTGTGACTCAGACTCCTGCAGTGAAATCTGCTCTTCCAGGAGAAACAGTCACTATCAGCTGTAGAACCAGTCACAGCGTGGATGGTGGTAACTATTTCTCCTGGTACTTACAGAAACCTGGAGAAGCTCCTAAACTCCTGATCTACTATGCTACTAGCTTACAGTCAGGAACTCCAGCTCGTTTCAGAGGCAGTGGATCTGGATCTGACTTCACTCTGACCATCAGTGGAGTCCAGACTGAGGATACAGGAGATTATTACTGTATGGGTCAGTTTTACATCAGTAGTAGACACTCGTTCACACAGTGATACTCAGTCATACAAAAACCTCCCCGAGTCAGAGACACAGAGGCTGCACTGCTGCAGCTGAGACCTACTGCAGGTGCTGAGGGGGAGGATGTGATACAGCACAATCACACACTCTGTGGAGGAGAGGAAACACACCACACTAACACACAACTCAACACACACATCTATAAATAAGCACAAAGCAGTAATGCACACAGTGCACCAACTGGTTGAGTTTGTGTCACTTTCTTGTGTTGAAAATTTGGTGTGACCCCAAGAAATGTGATCTTCAGCATTTTGTGACCCAATATTACAACATCATTGAACAACAACAACAAAACATTTCTTATTTCAGTTTGATGAGCCACTCAGTTCACTGTAATGGATCCCATATAATCAGTTTATCCCTTCTGTCTTCAGCCTCTAATTAGATTAAGATATTACCATCATTTTAAGATAAATTACAATGACTTCTGTGATCAACAGCATTAAATACCTGGAATAAAAAGGATCTCATGAGGACCAGACTGAGACAGGCGGTCCACAATCAGAGAACAAGTTTGAATCAGTCATCAGCAAATCCAGTGAAAAGTGAGTTTCAGTATCAGCTGTTTTTGGGAGAATCTGTATATCTTTGGAAATACAAGATAAGAAGACGAAACAAGACCATCACATAAATGAGAGCTGGATGTGGGATGTTGCTCTTATGGAGTGATGAATGAGAATCTGAAGTGTTTATATGTCACAGTAAAGGTGAGCGCATGAGCTCTGCATGTGTGAGTCCCACCATAAGGCTTGGAGTAGGATGGAGTAGGAGTGAATTACTGATGAAAGAGCTGGAGATGTTTATCACATATCCACAGCATTTCCAATGAGCATGACCATCACAGAGGAGTGTCATTCTATCAGGACTATGAGTAGATTAGCTTTTTTTAATCTACAGGAAAGAAAAAACTCAAAATCTTCCTCAGCTGGAACAGAAATATCTGAGAAAAATGGTCAACAGAGCCTTTAGATTTCAGCATCACTGGACTTGTGGGGGTCAAACTGGACTGAAAATGAAAGCAAAGCAATCCTTCAGGACTGTGTGCAGCATGAAGGATGAAGATCTCCTTTACTGGCAGCACATGTATAAAAATGTAAAAGTGTTTATTTTGACTACTTTGTTAGTAACAAAGGTAACACTTTACTGTAGGGTACAGTTCATAAGGCTACGTGAAACTCACATAAGCTTGTCATGACGACTGACATAGACCTACATAAATGTATATAAATGCTTATTCCAATAGGCGTCATCTGTCATAAAGACTACTTTAACTAACTTTGATCAAAATTGGCAAATGTAACCTTCACAGCGAATTATGCCTATTGGAATAAGCATTTATAAACATTTATGTAGGTCTATGTTGGTTGTCATGACAAGCTTATGTAGGTGTCATGTAGCCTTATGAACTATACCCTACAGGAAAGTGTTACCGTAATAAATATATTAAAAATATTGCCCCAGACAGGAAATTTGCATCCATGATAAAATTGCAATTAATTTGCATACATAAAATTATTAAATATATTTTTTGTAAATAAAATTAATTTACAATAAAAATGCAAATAATTTGCATACATATACATAAAGATTGAACCTGCCTAAAGCTGCAGTCACACCGAACACGAGTAAAATCTGCCCTGAGGATAAAATCAGTTCACTTGAATGCAAAAGACGTGAGCACAGAAAATCAATTCACCTCAGTTAGAGTTAAATTTCATTTCCTGCTGAGTTCATCTAGGTGACCTTGATTTCCAAGCAATTGAAATACGAGAAGGTGAGCTGTGGTCTCTTCTCTCTGTCAACATAATGTCACTTGTCACTCACAGTTTCAATAATATAAACTAGTTACTCAGCTAACATTTACTGAACTATATTTTCCCTCCAAAACCATCAGTACCGTCTCTACTCACCTGACTTTTGCTCCACACTGCAAAGAAAACACTGAGGCAGCAGTGCAGTGTGACCACAGCTTATTCTACCATTTACTGTGTCCACTGTAATTACATACTACAAATATTAAACAGGATAAGACAAATAAAAATACTATAAATACCATGAAACATTCACTACATGATACTAGAAATTACACAGCAGTTTGATGAATTTTATAGTTAAAATCATTAAACCTATTTCTGAAAAAATCTTGAAGGTTGATTGGTTTGGTTGATTCGGATCAACTGTATGACTTTCTAAAACTTTATCACTGTCATCATCAGACATGGCTGGAAATATTTGCCTCCACATTAGATTTTAATGACATTTAAGGTGTTTATTATGGTGGGAAAATGCAATAAAATAACCACTACAGTGTTGTTGACTGAAACTCTTTATTTTATTTATTTAAATTCAACAGATCATCATTTCAGCGTTAATCACAGACGTGTTTGAGCTCATTTGAGAGTAAGAGGAGCTCTATCAGCTGAAACCCCCGCGTGGTTCTCACTGCTCAGCACTGATCTCTCCTCAGTGTCTGGCTGACAGGAGGCTGGCAGTCCTTGGTGGCCTCACAGGTCACTGTGTTCTTTAGCCACTGCTCCTCCTGGAGGGTCAGGGTGCTGCTCCAGCTGTAGAGGCCGTCGTCCTTCTGCAGAAGCCCGGGGCTGTGACTAACCCCCGAGCTCCAGCTGCTCCCACCCACCTTCCAGCTCAGCCTCCAGTCTGAAGGGAAGCCCTTGTTGGCCAAACACACGAGTGTGACCTTCCCCTGCTGCAGCCCCTCGCTAGAGGGGGGCAGGACTGTGAGGGTGGGCGGGGCCAAACCTAGGAGACACAAACACAGGAAGGGACACGTGTCATTCAACCAGCACAGACACACAAGAGTGGGTTTCACTTCTCTTATTTTGTACAGAGCTGAACTGAGTTCAGTGGAGCATTAAAATGTTTCACCCTCTAATTATAACCTGCTTTACAGTTAAACTGCCTCTCAGAGCTGTGGTCATCAAAACTGTCCTGGTTTTAGAAATATTTTAAAATTTTCTATACCAGACATTAAAATTATGAAAATTAATATATTTTGTAATTTAAAATATTGAAATTAACGTTAACGTTGTCTCTGTAAAGCAATAACTGAAAATATTTTTCGGAATAGAAATAATAATTATCTTTAAAAACAGACATCTTGTTCTTAAAATATTTGAAGTATTTATTATAATCAGCACTGTGATAGTTCAGTATGAGATAAGAATTACAGTGGAAGAGCTGCACTGAGAGTCTACTGTAAATAACAGACCTTTATACTGTTAAAATAAACTCAGTAATTAAAGGCAAGTTGAGAGAAATTCACTGAAACATTTATACTTTTATTAGTGACACTTCAGAAACAGACGGTCGATTAAACTCTCCAAACACAGTAAACACTGATACTGTTAAATAAATAAAAAAACTAATAAATACTGAACATGATGTACAAAAGCATCAAGTACATTGATTTTCCAGAATTTATTAACTGATTAATTATGAATAAGAAATAAAAAGCTACTTACGGCCAACTGACAGTTTGGTTCCTCCACCAAAAGTCCACCACAGTGATACAAACTCATTCAGCGCCTGTACAAAAACCTCCTGCTCTAAAGTCTCTGCTCTCTCTGTGCTTCACTAACAGCTTTTTCATATCAGTCATTAATTACTGATGAGTTTTATAATCAGCAGATAAATGTATAAATTCTGAAACCATGGACTTTTGTTTCTTTACTTTTTTAAACTTTTTTGTTTGAACTGAGGTCACACATTATTAGATGTGTTCTCAAATTGCTAATTTATTTATTAAACTGTGATATCGTTGTAAAATATTTACATTTTTTGATTATTTAACTTGATTTTACAAGTTGAAGAGCTGCTATGTAAAAAATCTTTTTGGTTCTGTTGAGCAACAAAAATTAACATGGATAAATGAACATATTGATTTCCTGCTAAAAGAGAGAAAAGTATTGTAATAAAATGTGTATTTTTTACTCCCTGCATGCAGTTTAGTTCCTCCACCAAAAACTCCTGCACTGAGAGACAGACTGACAGCAGTAGCTGCAAAATCCCTCAAGAGAAAGACTGATACACTTTAAACTGAACACTATGAGATCGCCCCCCACTGGACATTGAGAATATTACACTGATCTGGAAAGGCAGATTGCTGAGCTGTGAGAAGATCAACTGTATCTTAATCAGTTTACAGTGTGTTCAGTTCAACACATTTCAGCAACAACAGAAGCTGATAAACAACACATATAAACATTTTCATGCTTCTGTCTGATATTCAGCAGCTCTAAACTGAACCATGAAGAACTCCTTCTGTTTCCATGCTGTTATTCTCAATGTCACATGATCACTGCAGCCAATAGAGTCATTTCCATAGAGAGAGCTGACTTTGCATTATCAGCACATGCTTCAGTGCTCTGGGAGAGTTTATAGTCCTGTGAGTTTAACACTTCATGACTGAGAGCTGCTGCCCCACAAACTTCACCCACAGCAGACATGACTTTGACCACCATCTTCATCTGGACTCTGATCTTCTGGACTCAAGGTAATGCACTGTTATATGTTTACTGTTACATAGATGATTTATGAAGTTAGAGATATTTTATTGCAACAGTGTGTTTGGGACTAAAAACAATAATATCATGTGTATTTATGAGTCACCCTAATTTCTCCTTATATTATTTCAGAATCCAGAGGTCAGGCGACTGTGACTCAGACTCCTGCAGTGAAATCTGCTCTTCCAGGAGAAACAGTCACCATCAGCTGTAGAACCAGCACTGCAGTGTACAGTGACAGTTATGGTCAGTATCTAGCCTGGTACCTGCAGAAACATGGAGAAGTTCCTAAACTCCTGATTAAACTGATTAACAGTAGAGAGTCAGGAACTCCAGCTCGTTTCAGTGGCAGTGGATCTGGAACTGACTTCACTCTGACCATCAGTGGAGTCCAGACTGAAGATGATGGAGATTATTACTGTCTGAGTTTACATTGGATCAATAGTATCTGGTCGTTCACACAGTGATACAGAGCCATACAAAAAGCTGTGAGAGTCAGAGACACAGAGACTGCACTGCTGCAGCTGAGACCTACTGCAGGTGCTGAGGGGGAGTATGTGATACAGCACAATCACACACTCTGTGGAGGAGAGGAAACACACCACACTAACACACAACTCAACACACACATCTATAAATAAGCACAAAGCAGTAATGCACACAGCATTTCAGCTCCACTTCTATTAGAGGAGTAGTTTAGTGGAGCTGGAGCTCATTCTAGTCCTACTGTTCGTGTGTCAGTGGTGGAGCGTTTCATCCTGAAAATGATCTGCAGTAAAAAAGCTGCTTCGGTTTTTCTGCTACATATTTCACTGTTGAAGCTCCAGACAGTGTCCATCCCACTCTGTCCCGGTTACTGTCCACTGATGGAACAGATACAGTGGTGTAAGAGTGTCTGAGAAAGTTTATCTGGTTTAACTCATTTGGTAATGTGGCTACCTGAGCTTTATCTCTGTAGTGATCAATAAACTAAGGTTGCCTAATTTAACAGCCAACACTGATAACATACTTTGTTATTCAACAAATATAAGCTAAATAATAATGTCCTGATGAAGATAATGTAAGGGTACCTCTGATGTGAATCCCTGTAAACATTTCATTGCTTTTGTCTTGAACTGTTTGACCTCAGCTGGGAAGAATGGTTGGCTTATACCTCCTTACAGAACTTTCCCAGCTCAGTGTGAACTTTATTACTGATCAGCTCCTGATTCTTTAACAGCTGAGACTTTCTCTCTAGGACAGTGGTGTCCAATCCCAGTCCTGGTGACCCTTTACTCTGCACATTGTTGTGTTTTACTGACTCCTCACACCTGATTCAGACATTGAGGAGCTTCATATTTAGTTAATGAGTTGAATCAGGAGGGCGAGATGAGGCAAAGCACAAAACTGTTCATAGTGTGGGGTGATCAGTGCTGGGATTGCAGGTCTTTGCTGATGAGAAGCAGATCAGACCTGAATAAGTAAAGCAATCTCAGACAGTATTAGACTCACCACTGTGAACCATCTGGTTTGAGTCTGTGTCAGTTTTTGTCCCTACTATGTGTAGAGATACCAACAATGTGTTCTTCAGCAATTTGAACCATTTACTACCATTTATGTTTATTATTATTAATATTATTATTGTTCACTGCACTAAAACAGGAGACTCAAACACTTCAGCTTAGTCTATTAAACTCACAGCACTGTGACTCTGACACACTGACAGTCAGCTCAGGATATTAAACTCACATCCTGGAGGGCAGCAGCACTAAAGGAGAAAGTGAAGCCAGCCCCCTGACCACCCCCACCCAGCTGAACACAAAGCAGTTTAACCAGTAAAATAGTGAAATAGAGAGAGAGAGAGAGAGAGAGAGAGAGAGAGTGGGGTGAAACTCAGATTTGCATTAACAGGCCTGAGTCGTCCACTTTCTCCCAGAATAGAGCAGCACTTTCAGCAGATGTTCAGCTTCATTCAGCCAAACTCACTCAAGCACAACACACAGCTCTGCACTGAATCTACAGCTACAGATACTCTCTCACAACACTGACCATTAAACAGAGTAAAAGAACAGACGATGTTCAAGATTCAGCTTTATTTCAGCTCAGCAGAACCACAGGAACAGCAACAGGACAGAGAACAGAGTAAAGACAGGAACATCAGCACTGTGTAGAGTTTAAACTCTACTGTAGATGATGTGGAAGCAGCTCTATGTTCAGCTCTATCTTGGAGCTGCTAATTTTCACAGCGGCTCTTTGTGAACGTGATTGGCTGATTGACGTTGTCATGGGAGACCATACAGCCAAACTCCTCCCCCTTATCCCAGAGTGCTTTGCTGAGGGTCAGGGTGCTGCTGCGGCTGTAGCGGCCATTCTTCTCTTCTTCTACACTGGTCAGAACCCCCTCCTTCACCTCTGAGCCGTCCACTGTCCAGCTGACCAGCGCCCCCTGTGGAGAGTAGCCAGACAGCAGGCAGAGCAGTGAGGCTGAACCCTCAGACAGCTGCAGAGAGGAGGGAGGCAGCAAAGACACAGAGGGCTTCACTGTGGAACCAGCTGGAGACGAGAAACAACAGCACACATGATTAAACACAAACAATTAAACATATTTACTAGTTATTCTTTATTAAACGTCCCAGCTGGAGCTCTAAAACCTAACCAGAGTGTGAACATCACTGCAGCGCTCTGTGCTGTTCTCACTTTGCTGAAATTAAATTGAAATATCTTTAAAATATCTATCATCTTCAATAAAACTGATAAACTCTAACAACAGTCATAAAACATTCCTCACTTTAACAGAGCTATTAATAAAAGTTACAGCTTTTGTTGAGTTCATACAGGATCATTAACCCAAAGTCTGACTTCAGGATCTGAGCCAGAGCTCATATTTTACTCTTTAACACAGTCAGTTTCAGTCAAAAGCAGCTGATTACAGAATAAAGACACAGATTAACAGACAGTAAATGAAATTTTATCCTCCCTTCCTTTCTCATTACTACCCGACAATAAAATAATTGAAGACCATCTTCTGAATGTGTGACCAGTTTTAGTGATTTATTTAAAAAACACATTTTCATATATTATCAGTTCTGAATGTGTTACATTCTGAAACAGTACAATTATTTGGATTGAATGGCTAATGGTATATTACTACATTTTTTTAATCTATTATAATAACATGATCCTTTAGGTTCAGTAAACAATTCAATTGTATTAATTTTCGTTAATCATCAATTTAATTAAAGCTACAGTAGAAGAAGTAAAGCACTTACTTTTCACAATGAGTTTAGTTCCTCCACCAAAAGTGTATCACAGTGATACATTCTAATGAAGCCGTCGTACAAAAACCTCTACAGTAACCACACACACACACACACACACACACACACACACACACACACACACAATCAGCTCAGGATCAGCTTTATAAAAGATTATAATGTAAATATATTTTTCTTTCTCTTTCCACTGACCTCACCTTAGTCTGACTCCTCATTCAGAAATAAATAAATAAATAAAAATTAACTAAACAGTTTATCGTGTTGATTTACATGTGCTGTTTTATCTCCAGCTGAGATGGAAAACATCACCTGGATGTTCCAGTCTTCAATAAACCCACCTGGAAGAGACTATAATGAATAAACTACCATCAGATGCCTCATCAACTCCTAACATGATCTCTAATCAGCCTCATGAACTGCCCAATCTGGAACCTGCATTTCTCCTACTCTGTTCTGCTTGTGTGAATCAGAGGGTTGTGCTGTTTGCATATGTGAGCTGCTTCACTGCTCCACACACTTTAAGAGCTGCAGTGCTGATCAGTCTTCAGTCCTTTCAGAGACACACAGCACAATGATGATCAGCACTGGGGCTGATCACTCAGGGTGAGAGGAACTTTATATTTAATATCACAGAACGATCTGAATAAATCTTATAATTAATAAAGTACCATTTATTTATGTATTTATTTATTTATTTATTGAAAGGAGTTTGTTTGTTAGCATTTTAGTTACACAATATTCATATTTTTTTATCTGAGATATTGATGAGGAATACAGTGAAAAATTCTTAATTAATCCTTATTTTTAAATCTTTGTGGTGATTTTAAATGTTTATTTTTTTTATTTTTAGAGTCCATGGGGCAAAGAATTCTGACTCAGTCTCCAGCATCTCTGTCAGTTTCTCCAGGAGAGACTGTTACTATCAGCTGCAAAGCCAGTCAGTACTGTGGTAATGAGTTTGACTGGTATCTGCAGAAACCTGGAGAAGCTCCTAAACTCCTGATCTATCATGTATCAAACCGTCAGCCTGGGGTTCCAGACCGTTTCAGTGGAAGTGGATCTGGAACAGATTTCACTCTGAAGATCACTGGAGTTCAGCCGGAAGATGCAGGAGATTATTACTGTCAGCAGGATTACGGCAATCCATTCACACAGTGATAGAGCGCCGTACAAAAACCTCCCTCAGCTGTAGAGGAGCTGCTCTGACTCAGAGACGCTCACTGATCTGAGAACAGCTGCAGCTATAAAACACTACAGCATTGAATATTTTTCTCTTTTTGGAAAATTTTCACCACTTAACAACGTCTTTAGATCATAATTTAAGTAAATATTCTAATATAAACTTTGCTTCTTCAGTTCACATTAATACAGTGGGGGACAGTACTCAATTTTTTTAAATTAGCTGCGCTGGAAATACATCTATTCACATGAAATTTAGACCAGACATTGGTATTAATTCAGTAAAACTACACAGCTAAAGAAATCGTAACTTTCGAATATGTACAGACTTTCTTTGTATTAAATTGAAATGACAGAGGAAAAGTTATTGAATTCGCAAACTCAAATTTATTTAATATTTGGTTGAGACTTTATTTGCAGTGACAGCTTCAAGACACTTTCTGTATTAAAGGTCCAATCTCTCAGAGTGTTCAGGTGGGATTCTGGTCCGATCTTTTACTCAGTCTTTAAATCTTGAAGATTCTGAGGGGCCCCTGAATCATCAGTTCCTTCAACAAATTTTCTATTGGGTTTAAGTCTGGTGATTGACTGGGCCGTTCCAACACCTTTCTTCCTACGAGACCAACTGAGAGTCTCCTCTGCAGTATGTTTTGGATCTTTGTCCTGTTAGAAGTTCTGCCCACATCTCATAATCATCATCATCATCATCATGCTAACGAATGACAACAGAAGAATTTACATGACCAAATTCATCTTCGCTTTGATCATTTTTATTCTGTAAAAAGAGAATCAGCCCCCTAACATGATGCTTCCACCCCTGAACTTCACTGTAGGTGTGGTATTTTTAGGGTCATATGCAGAGTCATTTATCCTCTTAACATGCCACGTTGTGTTGTTGCCAAAAACTACACTACATTCTCCTACTAATCAACAAGCTTCTCCAAATGTTCTTCAGCAAACTTTAAACAAGCTTCAACCTGCATTTCCTTCAGTAATGAGTCTTTCAGTGTGATCATGAATGGAGACAGTGGAGATGAAGTGCACTGCCTGTTCTCTGTGATGACTGAACCTCCTGTTTCCAGGTCTTTCTGGAGCTGTTTTTGAGAGGGCCTTGGTTTTTTGGGCTACTCCTCTGAATAACTGGTTGACTGTCCGGTCACAAATCTTGCAAAGTGTGTGAGGCTGGTTGATGGTTGAGTGATGTTCCTTCCACTAGCAGATAATGACCCCAGTGATGCTTATAGGCACATTTAGGAGTCAAGAAATCCATCAGTAACCAGTTCCATTGCTGTGCTGCTCAGCTGTCTTGTTAGGGAAGGTCTTGGGAAGGTCACTGGCTCTATCCATGATGAGATGTTTCCTGCGTGACTTGTGTGCATTCAGAAGTGGGTACCACTTTTCTAAAGAGTGGAACATGCCTGCCAACCTGCCCAAACCCAGCTGATTCTAATTAGCACAGGTGGGAGAAGTAATTTGAGGAATCAGCTGGTTTAGTCTGTTTTCTTACTGTGTCTAATATTTTTTTCATTCCACTTTACTGCCTGTAAACATTTACATGGATTGGAATGTTATGATTTCTTAAACTGGCTAGTTTTATTGTGTTAAAGTTTAGACCTGACAATTATATTATGTAAATAGCTGCATTGGAAATATTTTTAATAAAAAAAAATTGTTAAATGTTATACATGTTTATACTTATTTCCTTCTCTGTTCATTTACATTAGTATAATTTGTTTTTCACCAAGAAAATTACAAGAATCTTCTGTCTTAAACTCAGTCTGGAAGGCTGCCAACGACCTAATCAGAAATTATTTTAAGGCCTGTCCTGCTGGCTTTCAGTGTTTTAGCAAACAGCATTGATCTGAGAGAAGAAAACAAAATTACAGCCACCTTGTGCTGATCATGGATTTTTTCAGTTCACTCTTAGAAAAAAAAGGTACCAAGCTGAGACTGAAGTGGTATTTTTGAGTTTGCATCATTAGTAACTTTAGTAACAGAACATAATTGTACAATAATCCATTGCAGTTATGTTTTTAAGTTGTACTGATTCCATACATCCTGCCTCAACTCTAGACTTTTTATTTTACTGTTCTGTTTTAATATAATATTGAACTATATAAAAAAGGTTCAAATATTTACCTTCTCCCTCAGAAAACCTTGTTTAGGGTACACAGTTGGATCTTTAATGGTGTATATACATTATTTGCACCTTGTATGTACCTGCACAAAACCATTTTGTGACAACTGCCATTTGTTTTGCTAGTCTATATGCATGCAAAGTTTCAAAACGTTTAGAAATAAGTAGCCTAGAGTTCAGAAGGTTAATGTAGATTAATTAATTCACTCACTCACTCATTTCCTAGTTACTTATACAGTATTAATAATAAACAAATAATAACCAGCTAATTGGTGTTTGGTTGTTAATTTTTCTTTCTTGTCCAAATTCTGATCAGAGAGTGAAATAAGAAGTCACTTCACTAAGCTGTGCACAAAGAAGTTTTACTCAGTAAAAGAGACAGAAAAAGAGAGAGAGAGACCATCTTTACCATCTGTACAGAACTATCTGGTGAAGAAGTGGAGTGAACTGCACCTTAAAGAAACAGCCTTAATCTCACCGAGATCTCAGTCTCATATGACCTGTTCAGGCCAAACTGCCCCATCAGCTGTTCTTAGAAATGAGTGTGACGTCACTGTAAAATATGAAAATGCTGGTTTCTTTCTAATGAATCAAACAGTCCACAAATTTAGAATAACAGTCGTTCTGTCCAATCAGATGTAGGAAAGTGACATTAACACACTGACTAAATGAGCTGAAATGTAAATGAATGTGAAAGTGCAGTTCTCTAATGTGCTGCACACACATACACACACACACACACACACTCACACACACACACACTCACACACACACACACACATTCATATCTGCCTTGATGGGTTGATGGGTTTTGTGTTTGTGAAACTCAGATTTGCATGAGCAGGATGGTCTTCCCTTCCCAGAAAGAAGCAGCTCTGTGTCCAGATGTTAATCATCTCCAGAGTTCAGAGCAACATCACTTTAGTTTCAGCACCAGCATGAAGATCCAACCTGCCTCAGTCTAGCATAAACTGACTACAGATACAGAGGAGACTGTGGCCTGAATACTGTGATTATATACATTAACAAGGAAAACAGTATAACAGCATTAAAGTATGAATATAATTTATGTCTAATGATAAAAAAAAAATATTTTCAGACAATAAAACATACAGTGTTGTTGATTGAAACTCTTTATTTTCTTTAGTCAAATAATCAGATCATCATTTCAGCATTAATCACAGACGTGTTTGAGCTCATCTGAGAGTGAGAGGAGCTCTATCAGCTGAAACCCCCCGGGTGGTCCTCACTGCTCAGCACTGATCTCTCCTCAGTGTCTGGCTGACAGGAGGCTGGGAGTCCTTGGTGGCCTCACAGGTCACTGTGTTCTTTAGCCACTGCTCCTCCTGGAGGGTCAGGGTGCTGCTCCAGCTGTAGAGGCCGTCGTCCTTCTGCAGAAGCCCGGGGCTCTGGCTAACCCCCGAGCTCCAGCTGCTCCCACCCACCTTCCAGCTCAGCCTCCAGTCTGAGGGGAAGCCCTTGTTGGCCAAACACACGAGTGTGACCTTCCCCTGCTGCAGTTCCATGCTGGAAGGGGGCAGGACTGTGAGGGTGGGTGAGGCCAAACCTAGGAGACACAAACACAGGATGAGACATGTGTCAATCAGCCAGCACAGACACACCAGAGTGGGTTTCACTTCTCTTATTTTGTACAGAGCTGAACTGAGTTCAGTGGAGCATTAAAACGTTTCACCCTCTAATTATAACCTGCTTTACAGTTTAAACTGCCTCTCAGACTAATCTGCAGTTACTCATCTCAAAAAGTGCTTGAATTTATGAAACATTTAATTTTCAGACAAACATTTTTTTACTTCCTTAATAAAATTAGGAAATTTAATGCATTCAATAATTTATAACATTAAATTCAATATAAATTCAGCTTATGAAGAGCAACAAATGAAAAAAATGAAAAAAACATAATAAAACTGAAATATATGAATCAGAGAAACAGTCTATATGTAGATTTTAACATGTCTATAAGAATTTACAGTAATGGACATGGTGATAGCTCAACATGAGAAAGAGGACTGTGGAGCAATAAAGTTAAATCTATCACTTCTAACTATGAACTGATTAATTTTACACATATTGAGAGAAATTTGTTGGCCTTTTTATGCTTTTACTAACATATTTTCAGAAAGACAGTTGATAAAATCTTTATTCTAAACTGCAATAACTACATAATTTACCAAAACGATCAAGTACATTTAATAGTCTTTTCCAGAATTTATTAACTGATTAATTATTTATAAGAAATATAAAAAGCTACTTACGGCCAACTGACAGTTTCGTTCCTCCACCAAAAGTGCACCACAGTGATACAAACTCATTTAGTGTCTGTACAAAAACCTCCTGCTCTAAAGACTCTGCTCTCTCTGTGCTTTACTAACAGCTTTTCATATCAGTCATTAAATACTGATGTGTTTCATAATCAGCAGATAAATGTATAAATTCTGAGAACCTGAACTTAAAAGTATAATTGTTACAAGATCAAAAATAGTTAAAGAGCTGCTGTGTATAAAAATCCTTTTGGTTCTTTTGAAGAACGAAGAAGAATGTGAATAAATTAATACAAGTTGATTTTCTGCTAAAAGAGAGAAAAGTATTTTAATAAAATGTGTATTTTTTTACTCCCTGCATGCAGTTTAGTTCCTCCACCAAAAACTCCTGCACTGAGAGACAGACTGACAGCAGTAGCTGCAAAATCCCTCAAGAGAAAGACTGATACACTTTAAACTGAACAATATGAGATCGCCCCCCACTGGACATTAAGAGAATATTACACTGATCTGGAAAGGCAGATTGCTGAGCTGTGAGAAGATCAACTGTGTCTTAAACAGTT